AAGCTCATGGCCGAAATGCTTTGATCTTCAGCACAGGTACACTGTTCATATCTTATTCTAGGTTTTTCTATCAGATGAAAAAATTTTCGTTTTATTTTCGTAATTAATTTGATCTCGAAGTGTATAGATTATGAAAATTTTGTAATTTGGGTACTTTGATTTAGACCTGTGACAAGATTGAATCTTTTAGGGTAAATTATTGAAAGTTTGGAGATGATAGTGTCAGTTTACTCCTCGATAACATTTAAGGATCCTTGTTGATTGAGCTATGATTAAAGTTCATATTTGCTGAGTATGTCTTTAGTTAGGGTATGTGTTTGTGCTCTGTGAATCTCTCTGTATCTGATTGTTAGTTAATAATAAGTTTATCATGACAAGCAAGATGATAAATTTGGGACCTTGCCTACGGTTTTCTTGTGATTTTCATTTGAAGTAAAGTTTGTAGTTTTAAGTCTCTTAGATGGGACCTTACCTTCTTCCTTCCATACTTTTTGTTGAATTCCCCTTGTGATTCGATTCCTAGGAATAGGAGAAGGTGGGGGTCTTGCCTTCTTCGTTTCGCTCTTGCTGAATACACTTGTGTCACGTATTGTAATTCGATAACTAGGAATAATAGAAATTGGGCCTTACCTTCTTCATTTTCCCCTGTTGAACGCACTTATACAGCTTTGTACAAGTAATTCTTCCATATGATGTGGGTCTTTCTTCTACATATGTGCATATTCCTCTTCCTTGCATTTATTCGTGAGTGTGAATGTTATGGGAAACTATGTTTAGAGCATTACTCGAGTTTTAGTAGACTTGGCTCAAAAATGCAGTTGCTTGTAATGTTGTCAAAGCAAAGGGATAGTTTTTAAAACAAAGTAATTACTATATATATTTCCTGTATCAGCTTCTTTTCTTTATACTCAATAACTAATCCATCTTAAAATAAAATCACCCACGATATAATCATTAATTCATCTTAAAAGTTGTTTGGCTGAAGTAGCTTTAGCTCCATACCCATTTCTTCTCTGCTCACCAACCAGACATGTCTTTGATATTGGCTTCATCTCATGAATTCAGCTTCTTCAGAATTAGTTTTTTCTTTGTGCTTCTTTGGCTTAAGTGAATATGATATTAATTAAAGGTAAGAGTTGATGCAGAAGTGAAGTGTGATTTCTGATATAGTAAAGAGGTTTAATTGCCTTTCATTTTGGAACCTAGACGGAAGTTCAAGCAAGAAATTCAGCTCCACTATTTTTTCTTTGTGGCATGCGTGAAAAGGTTCCTTTGGTGGTTTACTGTTGGAAATATTATATTTGTCATTGAACAGTATATTTTGTAAGTAAAATTTGGTTGCTGAATCGGTATTGTTGTCGTTTATCTCCATTGCCTGACAAGAATACTGGTAATATGTTATTAGAGGTGGACTCTGGCTACTTCTGAAAGGATTTGAAATCTAATCCTTCCTCCTTAAACTCAATAGTCTGTTCAAATATTTTTTCACTCTAATAAAATGATATACATCATGTTCAGCGGTACAAACCACAAAAAAGAAAAAGGATATCAAGTGAATTTGAGGCTTTTGTATTATACATCAAGTGGTACAACTACAACAAGAAGATTGTGTAGAGTTAATGATTCAGATCTTTGATCATCATCAAGATTAAACAATCAAAAACCCTTAAGTCAATTGTTGTTAGGTTTCAACATACAAAGTCATTGCTATTTTTTGGAACCACCTGATTTTTGGTTTTCATGTTGGTCAGCTTGAATTGAGTAGACTTTTTATTTTATTTTCCTGCAATTTAATCTGAACGAGAAGGAATTCCAAATCTTTTCCAAAAGAGCCTAATCTATCTATACTTTATTATGGCCAGTATACTCATTGAGGAAAGATTTAGAAGACTAGTCTATATGATTGGGCCAGCATTTAATTATACTAGGATGGCATGGAGATTTATGGTAATGAACATTATCATAATTGGAGGTGTTCTTTTGTTCTTAAATGTGAATTCTATTAATCTCAGCACTTATAGTTTAAGACAACCACTGAGAGCATGAAGTATAAAGTAGCTGTATAATTTTGTGATTGCTTATAATAACTACATAAATATTATTCTTGATACATTATTTTCTAGCTTACTGAACAATATTACACAAAATTATAGCAGAAAGCAATGCGTTCAATTCTTTCAGTAAACAAGTTCAGGACTTCGCACTTCTTCATACTCAATTTCTTCGTCTAATTTCGAACAGACACGTTCATTTACAAAATTCAGAAAGAGATAGATAAAGTCCGGAGGACCCTTGAAATGGGGAATAAACCAGCAAAAGAAGAGCGTGAAGAGATCATGGTGAAGGTCATGCCTCCACTGGACCAAGCTTATGTGAGATGGCTCGCTCGTGACCTTGAAAGGCTCCACCGTTTTGCTCCAAAGAAACCTCGTGCCATAAAACCACCTGAGCGTTACATTGAGTACATGCGCTTGTACGGCTGGCTTGATTTGGACATGGATGATCCAGACCTATCTCATTTGTTGAAGTAGGTACCGGGTTCCTGTATATTGGAGACATCGTATTTTTGTAGCTGGAGATGTTTCACTAAACTATTATTAATCAAATGCAAGTCACATGAGGAATCCTGTGTGTTTCCTGATATTACCTTTGTCTGTTAACATTTCTATTCTCTCAGTTAAATGTACACAGAGGGATTGTGTAATTTCTGTTTGAATATAGACTCGATTTCTGCAACTATGTCAGGTATTAGTTTTTTTTGTTATAATGTACTGAGATTTTTCTGTCAGTGCAGCCTAATGCTTGCGTAGTGCATGAAAGATGGGGAAAGTTATAGGAAGGGCTCATGCTGTCTGTGTCAGAATTATAACATGGAGATGTTACAGAATGAGATAGATTCTGATTTTTTTTTTAAAATTGCATTTCTTTCTGTGCTCAATCTTGTTATTCAATTGGAGAAGGTGAACTGTACACAGTGAAGAATTATCTGCTGTACCTCAAGGTTTGCCTGGGAGATTGAATCCTAAAGAGGATCATATTGCATTATTAAAAAATGTTGGATTGGTAAAGATAACTAGGGGGGAAATGTGGTGTTTAGCATGTTTGCTATATCCACTCCCAAACAGTAATTTTGGGAGTTGGATTGCCGAAAATGCCCTTTTGATGTTGAGGGTGTTTCTGGAATGGATTTGGCCTGGTTTGGTTTGGGAGAAGGGCAATTTAGTCCTCACACACCCCCAAAGTTACTGTTTGGGAGAAGCATCTAATTTAGTCCTCACACACCCCCAAAAGTTCACTCATTTTTTCACCTTGACAGCTCAGAGTATTTTTTAGAACTTTGATACCTCCAAAAGTTTCAATCTCATTTCTTTTTGATGCTCATGTCCAGATGTCGCTAGATTTTCTAATTAGATGCTCTGAAGTTTTGCTAGTATCAAATGAACCTTGTTTTACGCAATGCCTGAAGCTTACGATGCACGAACGATGAGCCTATTAAAGTTACAATTCCTTGTTGTTATTATTATTATTTTTATTAAATATCTATGCAGTTTCTTGTCATTGCGCTTTTGTACAAGGATTGATTGGAATTATAAGCTTTACAATTTATCTTTCATATAGTTCTTTTTAATCATGCTAGTATTAAGCCCGCGTTATTATTTACCAAGTTATATTTATCGCAAAATTGATAATATCGTTTTTGTTATATAACTCTTTATAAAAATTTCCATGATAAATTTTTTAATACTTTTTACAGAGTGAATTTTCAAACCGGTTAACAAAATAATACATTAATTAGCAAATTTTATCAATTTTTTATTATAGAGTCAGAAAATATTTATATTTGTGAAAATGCCTGATAAATGTTAAATGCATCCTTTGCAAGAAAAAAATAATATGAAAAGTATTTTCAATGTTAAAAAATTATTTCTTAACATTGGAGAAGGGCCAAAAGCTCACTCTAGCATGTAGGGCACGTTTAGATTTCAAAAAATATATATTGTAGTATGAACATTATTTATAAAAAAATCACTCACCATACAGCATAAACAATAAATTTAATTATCTAACTCATATTGCAGTAAGAATAATGTTTCCAAACTAGTTAACAAAATAATTTTTTACCGTCACACTCTCTATCTTACTCTTTTTCGTAAGCAAATTATTTTTCGTTAGAGACTATTTGGTGGAAATTTTTGTAATAAGAAAGTGAAAGAATTGAATTTGATTTATTCCCTCCAACTGCTTAGAAAAAGAATGTTTACAACTCTCTCGATCTTGATTACAATTTGAATTCCCGATTATAAAAGAGAAGAAGATCGACGGAGATCCTCTCCTTTGTTTAAGACTGAGTTTTTCATGGTGACGATGAGATGCCTCCCTCAACGTTCATATTGAGTTTGTTTCTCGTTGATGATCCGACGTTTTAGTGGAACAATGTTTCTTCCTCTTGATTGATGTAGAGGAGGACTTGCGTGGCAAGTTTGAAACTTTTAACGAGTTTAGGAACTCAGAACGAGTTTAAACTCTTGTAAAAGAGTTGATTGATCTTAAACGTAATTGGTTAGACAAGGCAATGACGAAGAAAGCTCCAAGAATCTGCTGCTGAGAAGATGAGCCGAATGAGTCGCTCTCTAGATCTCCAAAATACTCAAAGATCCAAAAGATGATCCCCGAAGATTCCTAAGATCTG